GGAAATTCATGTTTATCTTTGAGAATTATCTTTAGTTATTTATATGGTTGGATTTGTGGTGAAACTTCAAGCAAGTTTCATGTTTACATTTTCCAATTTGGTTGAGAAATGAGGAAGTTTCAAAAATAAAAAAATGGTGTCTTTGTTCTGGCACGCACAAGGTTGAAGATGAAGGCATTTTCAAATTCAAGAACATGTTTATTTTAAGTTTATTGCAAGTTTTTTTACACACGGATGGAACAACCACCCCAGTGGCAGAGGAAGTGCGCGTAAGGCATTAATGTGTAGGGACCTGGGGTTCGAGCCCCGATGGTACCCTTTTGTTTTTCACTTATTTTCTTATTTCAGATTCAGTGCATCCAAGCCACGCGCGTCTACCATGAGCTTTCCATTGACATCATCAGATCTACCAGGCCATTAAATCAAGTGCACCAAGACGCGTGCCCCATGGTACACCCAAAGAAGTCATCCACACTGAATCACAAAACATGCATTGGACTTAGGTTCTGGGCCTTTTTATTTTTGATCTCACAAACCCCATTTTACTTTTCAAAGCGCAAGCCCATTCATACTCTTTTTTTATTATTTTATTTTCTCTGATTACAAAAAAAACATATTGGGCCCTTTTGCTTATTTTTAACACACTTTTTTACTTTTACACCTCAAGCCCGATTTTTTTAATACTTTACTTTTATAACAAAAATGCAAAAAGTATACTTTCTTAAATTAAGTTAAAAATATTTTAATTTAAATTTTTTATTTCTTTTTTTAATTAAATTAGATTTTATTACTTTCTTTTTTCTACATTATAAAACCTTTTCTTTTCAAATTAACATTAACCTTCAAATTATTTTTTAAACTAATTACTTAGACTTAGGTCTATTTTCTTCTTAATTTCAATTAACTTAGATTTTAGATTTTGATTAAATTATTAATTAATTTCTTTTTGTAATTAAAATTAATTAGTTTAATTTCTTATTTAGTTTAATATTAATTTCTCAATTAGTTTAATTTCTCTTGGACAATGGCTCAAATGTTTGGATCATAGCTCTAATAGTTGTGTAATCAATTAATTATGGAGTAATTTTCAAGTTAGAAGCCTACAAAGCAAGATTATGCAGCATAGGTTTGAGATTTGGTTAAGTGTTCATCATGAAAATGACTTGTAATTCAAGAATGGATGCCCAATTTCTTCTCTTCGATTCTCTTAGCTCAAGCATGATCTATTCAAGTTCTTGGACATTTTGAAAAGCTTGAAAGATTATATACAACCTTCATGTTGACCACTTTGGCTAAATCATCTTGGAACTAGGTGAAAATTGGTCAAGAAGTTAGGTCAAAAATCTGCCTAAACTAGTTGAAAATTTTACTAAGTGTTTTATAAAAAATGCCATGTCTTTATGAGCTTAACCTTCCAATCTAAGCATTTTTTGTACATCGAACCTCTAATACAAAGTTGTAGAGTTCATCAAGATCTACAATTTCTATGTTGAAAGTTTTTCTTGAATCATCTTGCATCTTGGTGAAAAATTGTCATGAAGTAATGAATTTATCAAATATAAAAAAACACTTAGAATTTTTCTAAGTCTTAGAAATCTTGACTTTTTTATTGACTTTTTAATTTTCTTGATTCTTGATGATCAAGTTTGATATTTTTGAATGTCTTGATGAATTTTGATCTTTAAACTTTAATGTTGACCAAAAAGTCAAAGTTTGACTTTTTGTGTATCAGTTGACTTTTTATCAGTTGATAAAAAATTCAACTATCAATCCATTGATCTTGAGAAATGATTTTAGCCATGAAATTAGGTCAAAATATTGTGTTTGAATCCTTGAGATCATGCTTCAAACTATTAGATCATGTACTAGGTCAAAAGTCAATGATCAGTCATTCTCAGTCAAAACCCTAATTTTGACAATTTTATCCCTTTGATGATTTATGTGCTTTTCTTGAGACATTGTGATCAAACCTTGATCAATTGATAAATATGACTTCAAGATGTTGATGTTGGCAAAAAATTATGAAGTTTGACTGTATATTGACTACAGTTGACTTTTTACTCAATATAGTTAATTTTCAGTCATCTGAGCAATTGACTGAGCAAATTTATGATGTAACACTTGAAACTTGGTATGAGAAATCTTGGAGACCTAGAATGAACTATGAAAGTCAACTGAGGCATCAAAAGTCCAATTGTCCTTGAGAAAATCAAAACCCTAATTTGGAGACTCAGTGCTTAGGATGTGAGCTTATCTGATCAAACCCTTGAGAATCCTTGAGCATTTGAGATCTTTTGTGAGAAATGTCTTGAAAATAAAGAGGGAAAATTTTGGGGTACCACATTCTCCGACGAGTCTATCACTTCTTGGAAGAGTTTGGGGAGACAAATCTTCAGGTATTTCACAACACCTCACTGACACCCCAAATCAAAAGCTGCGTTGGAGGCCATCATCTAGGGGGAAGGATGAGTCCCTTCAAGCGTATATTGAAAGGTTTAATCAGGAAGTTGTCCAAGTCTCCACGATGGACGGGATGAAGAAATATCTCCTCAAGCGAGGCTTACACCCTAGTAGTGACTTCGCCAAAGCAGTTGGCATATAAACTCCTACAACGTTAGATTCCCTCCTGCTCAAAGCACATGCATACATCCAGTACGAGGAGAAAGAGGTTACTAACAACGCGCGAGACTCGCGGCATCGTGAGAATGCAAAAGTTTCAAAGAATAACGAGCCCTGGACATCCCTTCAGGGAGCAGAAAAGACAAAGGAGGACAAATCTTGTGATTCAAGAGACTACATGGGGTCCACTGATTGTTTTCACGACTACACCCTAAACACTTCGCGCGAGCGTATTCTGACTGAATGTGCAAACTCAGAGTTCAAGCAAGCCAGAGTTTGCTTTCCCCGACAAACATCGTCCAAGCCAGGGACATACAAAAGATAATATTGTAGGTTCCATAAAAGTCACGGACACGATACAGAAGACTGTATCCACCTCAAGGATGCCATTGAGATACTCATTCGAGATGAGCATCTCAAACAATATAAAAAGAAGGAAGACACCCGCGAGGATACCCAGAAGTCCAAGAAAGTCGAAGAGGAAAAGCCCTCGTCTGACGAAAACCTCATGCCTGTTGCCTTGAGCATCACCCGACCAGAAGATTCCTACTTTCCCGATCTAGACAAAGTCCCTCTATACTTCGCCACCCACAGTCTATGGGAGACATTTCCCGCAACAATGGTTATATTCGGCGGGGGCTTCAATGAATGTACGATGGACTCAGTCAAGAGAAGGTTCAACCAACTTATGGAAGCTAGCTCCGACAAGAGTGCCACTCTCGATAAGATTAGGGGAAGCTCCGTTTCTATTGCATTTTACCGAGAAGAGTTGCCCAGTGGAGCTCCTAACTCTAGTATTTTTCTGCTTGTACGAGCACGAATGGCTAATTTCAATGTCAGACGCATTTTGGTCGATCAAATCAGTTCAGTTGATATAATGTACTCCTAGATTTTTTCTACCCTACAGCTCAATGAGATCCACTTTACCCCTTACGTAGGATCCGACCTCCAGGAATTCAACGATTCTGTCACCAAACCCTAGAGATATGTCAAACTAATCATCACGTTCGGGGCGGTGAAAACCGTTAAATTCATCAAGACACAGTTCTTTGTGGTAGACTACCTATCATTATATAAAGGCAAAATACTCATTTTGGTCCCTTAACTATACCCTTGGGTTCATATTGGTCCCTTAATTTTTTTTGTGTCATTTTGGTCCCTTAACTTTCAAAAAATTTCATTTTAGTCCTTTTTGTCTAAATTCGTAGCTAATTAGACGGAAAAACTTTGAAATCAGCCGCTAAATTCATAGCTAATTAGACAAAAAGGACTAAAATGAAACATTTTAAAAGTTAAGGGATCAAAATGACACGAAAAAAAGTTAATGGACCAATGTAAACCCAATGTATAGTTAAGAGACCAAAATGAGTATTTTGCCTTATATAAATGTATATTTAGGAGAACTACCCTGACCGAACTAATAGCATTGTAATCCAATATGCATTTAAATATACATGACTAAAATCACATGAGGTATTTGACTTTCCGTTTATATGAAGAGTACGGTGTACCACTCCAATCCATACCCTTATTAAATTATTTGATTCAAATACACATGGATGAATCAAAACTCTAGACGACAACATAATGATAATCAATCACAAGCTTAACATAAACCAAGCCACATAGGATCCCAACACCACAGGTTCCAAGAAGAGAGCGAGACCAACGAGGCATGTCTGTTTCAAATCCCGAAATTGGACTCATTTGTCCCTCCAAACTTTCACAAAACGACAAAATCATCCATCCCCATCGCACAGATTTCAGTTGCTGACGTGGCATTAACCGGCACAAAAAACAGTTAGCTCCCTCAGAACCGAGAGAGAGAGAGAGAGAGACATAGCCTCTCGCGTGTCAACATTCTCCAAAATCTCTTTCAATCCAAAAAAATTGAAATCAAAACCGAAAGGCATTGTCTCTCTCAAACTCAAACGCAATCTCTCGTTCGTTTCAACCAATTCCGTTTATCGCGGTTTCAACGACCCTAATTTCGTCAAAAATGGTTCGGATTTTCGCATTTTCTGTTAATTCGTTTCAACGCCGCAGATTCTGATTCCTTATGCGCTTTTTCCTCCCACATTTGCCACGTTGACAACGTTTCGGTAAAAAAATTGGAGATTCCGGTGGGGTTGGAGGTACACGCGCGTTTCTAGGGTTTGTTTTTGAGCTGAATGTGTTTCGTTGAGGAAATTTTTTCTGTGTGATGTGTCTTTCTTAGTTATGGGGTAGATGAAAGAGCTTTTGTTATGATCAATTTGCAAGTGGTGAGTTTTTTGATGGGGAAGGGTTTGACATTGCTTTGTAGTATCTGTTTTGTTTTGGTCTGTTGTTCAAATGGGTATTGGGTCCATTTTCGTGAAGGATTTGTTGTTGCAACTTGAATGGCTGATCGTCAGAAAACTGGTCTTGGCGACAGTAGGGATATCGAGCAGGTTCACTCATTGCTTTCTTTGCTTCTTTTTTAGTTGCTTTTGGATAAACAACTCAATTAACTGCTTCTTGAATAAATGCTTATCATCTAAGCATTTATGTATCAGCTATTTCTATGAGGTTTCTTAATTATGTTGCTTTCTTTAGTTTAATGTAACGTAATGATTATTGTAAAGAAACTAAAAATTACGGTCACTTTCTCGATGAACAACTTAGTTACATTATGTTCTTCATGAATACTCCCTCCGGTTGCTATTATAAGCAAAATTCTCTTTTTAGGCTCATTGAATATCATGTATTTGGTCTACATAAAGATCAGATACAATCGTTTTTCAGTGAATCTAAAATGAGAATCTTTGCTTATAATGGTGACTAGAGGGAGTAGCTATTTCTATAACCAAGGAGAGAACATTATCAAATTGTTATTTTTTATAAGTTTTAAGGCGTTCTCATAAGCTATCTACTTATTGAAATAAGCAGAAAACAACTCATTAATATGTCCTAAGCTTTCTCAAACACTTACACAAATGGTTATGTGATAAGATAAGTCGTGAGTAAGTTGGAAAGAACTTACGGATATGTCATAAGCTATTTTCATTGTTTAATTAATATACTTTGAATGATATGAATGATGATTTATAATGGTTCTTCTTTGCCGTTGTAAAATCGTCTTCTTATGCAAGTACCTAACTTTTTCTCTTCCCTTTGTAGGCAATTACATCTCTTAAAAAAGGTTCATATCTGCTAAAGTATGGACGAAGAGGGAAGCCAAAGTTCTGCCCTTTTAAGCTTTCCAATGTGAGTTTCTGTGGTGTTTCTTCTGATCTTTATATTAGCTAGCCCATCAAATGATAAGAAACTACATTTTCCTTTTTAGATAAATTTTTTCATCTGATCTTTTGATTTTTTCCGAAACATATTTGATAAGATATTAACAACGGAAAATGATATACACACAACATCAATTTGTTTCTTCATTTTCTGGTCCCAACATGCGTGTTTCTATTTCATGCAAGATATAAACCCTTAACTTGTTTCGTTATCACTTTTCTTAGAAGCATGAAAATAGGCGTCAAAGTCATTGGTCAATCGTTCCAGTTTGAATGTTTTTATATCATTAGTAGCTTATCATCAAATATAGGTTGATTTTAACTAAAGCATTGATGATTTGACTCAGCATAAAAACAAGTGCTTACTTGGATTGTAAATCCTTATCTTAGGAAACTATAAGAGAAAAGATGACAACAAAACCATGATAATAGCATAGAATTGTAGTCAAATATATGGTCAAGTAGTGAACAATAGATTTTCTAACTACTCAAATCTTATTTAAGATGCAATAGTACAATATTCTCAGGGACCCAAATAGCCAAAGGCATGCAAAATCATGCTTCAGAAGAAGAAAATATCAAGATTATTTTCTTTAGGGCAATATGTCTGTGATGTTATATAAAAATGCTCTTATATATTTGTTTCCCTAGTGTTAAAATTTAACTTGTGTTAGAAATAATTAAAATGTGTTAGAAATACTTAAAATGTGTTTATGTGCTTGTTTCTATTTGAGACAAACCGTTTACTGTCAATCATTACAAATATGAAGCTTCATGTTTTTTAAATAAATTTAAAATCCCCTTGAATGAGAAACATGGGCATATTATGTGCTATTATCTTCAATACTTTTTGAACATGTGTTCAGGATGAGTCTCTACTCATATGGTACTCTGGCAAGGAAGAAAAACAAATTAAGCTCAGTACTGTTTCAAAGATCATTCCTGGGCAGCGAACTGTAAGTTTGTAAGAATCCCAGACACAATTTTCAGTCTAATACTATATGCCTTTATATAATGATCCGTTGTGCTAATTTCTTTTTCCCACTAGCTTTCTTCTCAGTACTCGCTGTTTTGATTTGTTATGATAATCCAGGCAACATTTCAGCGGTATCCTCGACCAGAAAAGGAGTATCAGTCATTCTCTCTTATATACAATGATAGGTCCTTGGATTTGGTGCGTCCACTTCTGCATAATTGCTATGCCAATTAACTCCACCAGTTCTTTAATGAACATTGTCTTTATTTTTTGTTATCTCAGTATCATCATAGCAAAAAGCTAGCCTGGCAGATTTTAAGCAGTACACGAGTTAGATAGGAGATTTTATAACTTTTAAACTTCAGGGTCTGACTCCACTGCTAATCTATGTACAGATCTGCAAAGACAAAGATGAAGCCGAAATCTGGTTTGCTGGTCTGAAAGCATTAATTACCCGCGGTAACTATCGCAAGTGGGGATATGAATCAAGACCTGAAAGTCTGTATTCTGATAGTCCAAAGTCTGGCACAAGAAGATCCATTCCATCATTTGCACCATATGTTTGTGACAATGACTTTCATCTTCTTTATTTTCATACAGCTGACATAACTATTAGGCATTGAAAAGTTACTATATTTTCACTCTTTCTAATTTTTAAACAACAGGACCCCAGAGATATCGACAGAGTTTCTTTTCAAAATTCTTCGCCAAATAGATGGGTAAAGGCTTTCTCTGAAATAATTTCATACACTGCTGCGCCTAGCAAGAGCTCCAGTCAAGCTGAATCAATTACCAATTCCTCTATGTCCTCTGGATCCATGGATAACTCAAGCAATAGAAATTCTGCATCTGAGGCGGTTCGAGTTAGTTTATCCAGTGCTATAAGTTCATCCAGCCAGGGTTCCTGTCAAGAAGATTTTGATGCTTTAGGTGATGTTTTTATTTGGGGAGAAGGTATCTATGATGGAATTCTTGGTGGTGGTCTGCATAGAGTTGGAAACGTATCTTTTTCAGAGATGGATGCATTCCTTCCCAAGGCATTGGAATCAAAAGTGGTTCTAGATGTTCATAGCATTGCATGTGGCTATAAACACGCTGTTCTAGTTACCAAACAGGGAGAAACATTTAGCTGGGGGGAGGAGTCAGGAGGAAGGCTTGGGCACGGTGCCGAAGTGGATGTTCTTAACCCCAAGCTCATTGACACTCTTAGTGGCATGAACATTGAGTTAGTAGCATGTGGAGAATATCATACATGTGCTGTTACTTATTCTGGGGATCTTTATACCTGGGGCGATGGTACTCACAATTCTGGGTTACTTGGGCATGGAGATGAAGTTAGTCACTGGATTCCTAAGAAAGTAGGTGGTGCATTGGAAGGATTACGTGTATCATATGTGTCCTGCGGTCCTTGGCACACAGCTATTGTTACATCAGCTGGGCAGTTGTTTACATTTGGTGATGGAACTTTTGCCGCCTTAGGCCATGGAGATCATAGCAGTTCAAGTATTCCACGGGAAGTAGAAACTTTGAAAGGGTTGAGAACAACCAGGGTTTCATGTGGTGTTTGGCACACTGCTGCCGTTGTTGAGGTGATAGATGAATCTTTGGAGTCTTCTACACAGTCATCTAGTGGAAGACTGTTCACCTGGGGTGATGGCGATAAAGGCCAACTTGGAATTGTTGATAAGAAACCTAGACTAGTTCCAGTGTGTGTAATTGCATTGTCTAACAAAAACATTTGTCGTGTAGCTTGTGGCCACAGTCTTACAGTTGCATTGACAACATCGGGACATGTGTATACAATGGGCAGTACAGCTTACGGACAACTTGGTTGTCCTTCAGCAAGTGGAGTGGTTCCTGCACGTGTTGAAGATAAAATTGCTGACAGTTTCATAGAAGATATTGCCTGTGGTTCATATCATGTTGCAGTCCTGACTTCCAAGGCAGAGGTTTTCACATGGGGGAAGGGTTTAAATGGGCAATTAGGTCATGGTGACAACGGTCACAGGAATAAGCCCACATTTGTCCAATTTTTAAAAGATAAGCAAGTGAAGAGTGTTTTTTGTGGTTCAAACTTTACTGCTGTTGTTTGCCTTCATAAATGGATACCGAGTGTTGATCATTCTGCATGTTCAGCCTGTCGCAATCCATTTAATTTCAGAAGAAAACGTCATAATTGTTACAACTGTGGACTTGTTTTTTGCAATTCATGCACCAGCAAGAAATCTATTAAGGCTTCCCTTGCTCCAAATTCCAACAAAACATATCGTGTTTGTGATGACTGTTATTATAAACTTAAGAAAACCGCTGAATCAGTATCCTTGCAAACTCCGAGCTGGAAAAGTGTCAGTTCGCAAGACAGTAAGGCCCCTAAAACACAGGGAACACTATTAAAACTTTCTTCATTCGGTTCTATTGTTCAATCAGAAAGCAGTCAGTCAAAGCTTCCAGATTCTCTTGATAGCCATATTTTTCCAGCTTTGAATGGAAAATTACAGTTGGGGGGTTTTGTTCTTTCAAAATCATCGAACTCTCTTTCCGTGGAATCTAGGAAATACATGTCTGTTTCTGAGCTTGCTACAAGAATATCTTGTCAGTCAACTTCTCCAGTTTCATCAAAGTCAAGCCCACGACAATCTTGTGAAGATATTATACATGAAGATTTAAAACACAGAAATGGTATTCTAAGTCACGAAGTTATAAGTTTAAAAGCACAAGTAAGCCTGGTCAATTTATCTAATTTATAATTTTATATGCATATCCTTCTATGTCATTGGTTAGTTAATCCTGATGGAATTATAATATCATATCTATGTTGTCTTTGTGGTCAACCTTGTCTTCTTATCTATGAAGCACAAACTCTGCGACACGGATTCCGGAACACGACACGGACACTCCGACACCGATAATATTAAAAACATAGGACACCAACACCGCTACATACATAGTATTTGACCTTCATTTGTCCATCTATTATGAAAAAATTCAAAATATTTTAGTAAAGATTAATGACTTTAATTCTTCAGTGATAATATTGTTTCAATACATGTTTAATAGACATATGTGAGAATTGTCCAAAAAGAATGTAAAAGGCGTGTTGAATGAACCAAAGAATATACAATTTTTTTAAGCACTTGTCTCAATTGTATGGCACGTGTTGAATGAGTGTCATGCGGGTGTCGGACATTGATTCAAAAAGTGTCGTAGAAGAGAAAGGAATCGCGACACACATACTTCTAGAGGTGTCCGTGCTTCATAGCTTCTTATGACGAGTTTGCTAATTCCTGCTTCATGCCTATGTTCTTTCTGACCTGAACTGTTTGAAGGGGGCTTTTAATGCCATATGTATGTACTCTAGACTAGATAGTCAATATCAATTTGTTTATGACTGATGCGTCGGAGAAAATTTATTTTTTAATGAAATTGCTAACTAGCTTCTAGACACCTATATTATGCAGTCCTTTGGTATGCATTTTGGACATGTATTGTATTTTTTATTTTTATTATAATGCAATGCTTCTGAACTTCTGCCATAGGCTGCAAAATAGTTTATAATGCATTTTTTTACTGCCCACACAATGCACAGCCACTCTCTATTTATAACATTGTTATTGGCACCTTTTGCATTATCTTCTTGCATCTTTATCTACTAGCTTGTATTCAAATATCAGGCTCGAGTATAGTCTCATAAAATAATTGAACTAGACAATTATCAATCATTGAATTAACTTTAATATGGCTTTCAATTTTCTAATATCGTCTATGAACTCTATATGTTGAAAAGACTTCAAGTATCTCATCTCAAACTGATCAAATAGACATGGTAGGTTGAAGAACTTACTCAGAAGTCAAAAAGTCTCGAGGCTGAACTTGAGAGAACATCAAAGCAATTGAAGGAAGTGGCTGAAGTAGCTGCGGATGAAGCTGGAAAGTGTAAATCTGCAAAAGAGGTTATAAAGTCATTGACAACTCAGGTTGGATATTTTTCTATCGACTTGATTTTTTTCCTCTTCTAATTTTCAAATAAAACATGCTATCTTTCAAATAAGACTGGTGATGTTGTATAGGAGAGTGTTGGTCGGTAAAAAGCCATCATGAGAATAAAGTCAGTGTGACAAAGATGAAAATTTGAGCTGGATGTGTCGAAATACTAGAAAATATAGGATTGTAAGGAAGGCACTAGAGAGGGTTGGGATATCACTAAAAGATGATTTAAGGTCAAGTTGGAAGGTTTGGGCATGTGTAGATGAGTCTTGTAGATTTTGTAGTATGGACAGTATATCAGATGGTTGGTAGCCCAACAACTAGTAGTGGAACAATTATAGGACAAACAATAAAGAAAGACTTAGAGGTTAATGGTTTGGCTGTAGATAACTAGATATGATTCATGATAGAACATTATGATGCCATTTGATTCATGAAGCGACCCCATCTAGTGGAAAAAGGCTTGGTTTTGTTTGAATCCCATCTAGTGGAAAAAGGCTTGGTTTGGTTTGAATCCTTATTTTTGCATCTTGTAAATTGAGATTGCAGGTGAAGTTCTAGGTCTAAACATTTGTGGCGGACCTTATCTTAAGAATGAGAGTTAATGAACATATATAGGACCTAAAACGAAAAACAATATTGGGAGTCCAATTACCAAGCACTTGTGAATGTTATGACTTTTTCTGTTTTTTATTTGTTGGGATCAGGGTGGGGATGGATCATATATTGTATCTAATACATATATGATATCTACTATATGTTGGTAGTCAAGATTGCTAGTTTAATTGTGGGATCACAAGATACTCCGATCCAAAGCCATGGTTCCGTGCTGCGATGTGACCAGGATCACTGGAAAGCTTTATTGTTGAATACATATCCCGCGCCCTTACGATCTGTTTGGGAGATTAAGAGGGGAGACGAGAACTTTGAAAAAATGGGAAGGATAATCCTCTTAAATGGGGGGTTTATATTTTTTCATAATACAAAATCTCCTTGATACAGGGTAAACTCAATATGTTCGAGGAGGGAAACTTTGTTGTAATATGGGCAAGAAGCACCTTGTGGGTCATGTTTAGGTGCCCGTAAGTGGTCGAGTGTTAAGCATGAGAGTTTGATTGAAAGTTAGGTTAGTGTGCCATGCATTGTTGATGTCGTGCCGTTGAGGATGAGTGAACTTCGAGTGCATGTGGTGATGGCCACAAGCTCGGATTTGGGGGCGTTTTCAGTAGATGCGTCTTATGTAAAGGCAGGGTATTTCTTGGGCGTCTCACTGATACACTGATTCACCCTGACTAGATGTTGCTTGTCTCAATGGATAGCTGGGGCACTTCTATTCTAACAGTAAAAAAAAGTTACTCCCTTAGGGCACTACTATAAGAAAAAAACACTACATTCACAGTGATTAAGATCAGCAAGTGCAATTAATTGTCTAGATTTCATGTAAAACACAAGTCAAATTTACCAAACTTTCCTTTTTGACATTTAGCGGAAAAACTCGCTCAACTAGTTGCATTAAATGTTTTTGCATTAAATGAAGGGTATAATATGAATAATACCATCACATAGTTCATGATAGTTAAATTTTGCATTTCATATTGACCAAGATTTGAACTATTTTTTTTCTTATAATAATGATTAGAGGGAGTACGATCTTTCTCCCCTCTTGACTCTGTGTAGCATCTAGAGTTTGACCACACCGGTGACTGTTAATGCACATGGAGATTTAATCTTTAAAAGCTTAAGCTGTGGAGCAAAAGATGGACATTGGATAGTTTGGGATGTATACTGAGACATATCATACATGCAAACTATATTTTGAATTGAGAGAAGGCATTACCAGAAATAAGTTCATACCCAACCCACTCATGTTTGAATTGAGGTTTTAGATATTGAAGATAAGGCAGAAAATACAATAAATGTGAAATTTGTCCTAATCGGAAAAGAGAAAATGGAGAGAAGAGCAAGGAAGAAAGAGATTTATAACAAAGGAGAAAAGTAGAAAAAGTACCATCAGCTATTTTAACCTTGGGAAGTAGTAAGGTCTGTCATAGAATCAGATGTGGTTGGTGAAGCAAAGAATGATGTATCCTTAAAGATAGTATTTTTTTTTAATGACAAATTGTTAGGGGTTAATTGTTAATATATATTTACACCCTTGCCATGACTTGAACCCTTGACCTCCAACTCCGTTTAACCTTTAGTTCAATTGTTTCAAGCCAGTCAAAACGAGGTGTAGATGGAAAATAACACCCATACTCTTTTTAGGCTCTAGAATAGCTTAAAATCAACATTTAAGAGCTCTTGCAAACAATTTATTACAGCTAGAAGAAAGATCATGAACAAAACAGAGCCGAACACACGAAGGGGGACATCATATAGGCGGTCCTCAGGAAACTGGAGTGAGTGGGGAATCTAATTACCTAATATTGAGGATGGAGCGAGTGTGGCATCTAATTACCTAATATTGAGGATGGAGTGAGCGTGGCATCTAATGACCTAATATTGAGGATGACATGCATTTTATCAAATAACAGAATTAGAATAACATAACTCCAAATATTTAAAAGGTGCATGGCATTGATCGATAGCTATATCAACCAAATGACAATGTTTCTTCTTAGCTCCCCCATTTTGTTAGGCTATTTATGGACAACTAGACTGCTGTATGATACCATGAGAACAACTAGAATAACATCACCCCAAAAATGTTAGCTCCCCCAATTTGAATTATTTTTCCAAATTGGGTCTTGATCTTTGAACAAAGCATCTGAAAAGCACCAAATAATTCTAAACAATCCTTCAATAAAGTGATTAAGGTGCATCTTGAGAAATCATCAATGAAAGTGACGTAATATCTATATCCCAAAATATATAACACTTGACTACGACCCCATACATCAAAATGGATTATATCAACAGAAGATTTGGATCTTTTGTTGGAACTACTTGGGTAAAGAATACTTGTCATCCTATCATAATCCTAAAGAATACTTGTAGAATTTCAGAGAATAGGTTTATAATATTATCATTGATCCGTTAACAAATAGGTTACAAGGGTATGAGTAAAGGAACTAAGCTCTCGGCCACCCTCACCTTAGGAACTACAAAAGGAAACATTTCCTAATGATAAGAAAATTAAAAACAAATCAATTACGAGAGATGGTAAGATAAATACCAAATCCCTCTTATTGCAGGAAACAAATAATGCCAAATAAATATAATTTAATGCGCTAGGTTTCTACTCTTTCTCAAGCTAGGTTGTAGATGTTGAGCAATCCTTGCTTGGATATACGTTCTCAAATGTTTTTCTTTGCACTTCTTTAGTGAGAATATCTGCCGTTTGCTGACTTGTACGAGTACAATGGTGGGATATAGTCCCATTTTCAATATTTTCTTTGATGAAATGACTGTCAATCTCCACGCGTTTTGTCCCATCATGATAAACCACATTCTTAGCAAAGCTGGTGGCAGACTGGTTATCACATAACACCTCTATGGAATCCAAACTGAGGATTCCAATTTCACGAAGTACCTCTTTAGCCGTATTCCCTCACACATGTCTTGAGAAAGAGCTCTAAATTTGAGTTCTGTAGAGCTACAATACACTACTGGTTGCTTTTTATTTCTTCAAGTGATTAAGGTCAAATTGAAAGCCTATCATTCACATATCCTGCTCCTTTAACATCAATGAATATTTCAATTCCCCAATTTGTCAACCTTTGAAAAAATAATTCTTGACCGGTGTCATTTTCATCTATCTGAGAATTCTATCCACTACTTCCATATGTTTCCTCTATGGGGCAGATACGGCCTCATTGTACTCACTGCAAAACTAATGTCTGAACATTTGTGAGATAGAAAAGAATGAGCTTTCCAACCTACGTTTTGTATCTTCCTTTATCAACTGCTGTATCTATGTCATGATTACCAAGCTTCACATTTGCATCCATAGGGGTCTCGAATGATAAGGTTCTCGTATGGTTTACACCCAAGTATTCATGTTGCTTTTATATCTTCCTTTATCAACTGTTGTATCTTGTCAAGATTACCAAGCTTCACATTTGCATCCATAGGGGTCTCGTATGATTTACACCCAAGTATTCATGTTGCTTTTATATCTTCCTTTACCAACTGTTGATATTTATCAAGATTACCAAGCTTCACATTTGCATCCATAGGGGTCTTGTAGGTTTACACCCAAGTATTCACATTTGCATCCACAGGATCAACGAAATTGGCTATAGCATTGCGTGACTGAGATGTTCCTGTAGTTGATCCTGCAGCATTGTCTCAATCTCAAAGATGGTTGATGCATTGTCTTTGCTTGAATAAAATTCCTATTTGGAATGATTGGCCATGACCATGTTGTTCTTGGTCTGCCATTGTGTGTAGGTTGGATCTCCTGTTTTTGGTGCAATAGTTTTGCCGGTAAGGAATTCATCTTTCCCTTTGCCACTTGTGCAAACATCAAGACTGACTGTGACCATTGAATGTTCCCATTCAGTTTGTGTCCTGTAATGGGAAGTTGAGAGGTTGTCTCCAAGATCATACTAGAATTGGTTTTGACTTGTGATGAGAAGGATCGATTTTCTACTAATACCATGTAGAATATCAGAGAATAGGTTTATTGTATTCTCATTGATCCATTAAGAAATAGGTTACAACTTACAACGGTATGAATAGAGGAAGTAGCATCTAAGCCACTCTTACCTTAGGAACCATAAAAAAAAAACAAATTATTCCTAGTGATGATAAAAATAAAAACATAGAGATGATAACTTAACTACCACCTTGACAAAAATAGAAACATAGAGATGATAGCGTAACTACCACCTTAGAAACTAGACAAAAATAGAAACATAGAGATGATAACGTAACTACCACCTTAGGAAGTAGCCTCTAGGCCACCCTCACCTTAGGAACCTTAAAATTGAATATAGGTCAAATATATAAGTGAATTTAAAAGTTAACAGAAAATAAACAGTGTGTTAATGGGGGAGGGATGTGTTTTTCTATTTGATAAAAAATTAGGGGAGGTTAGTGTATATATTAAAACTAGAGGGGTTGTCGGTGTCATTCTAGTAGACCGTGAGTGTAAATTTCCCTAAAATGATACTAGTAAATCTTAATATAATCAATATCAATTTCTCAACCATTATCTCTGATGTTGGGGATGCTAAATTGTGTTACAGTTGAAGGAAATGATGCAAAGACTGCCAGAAGGACATGATGCTGACTTAAGCACCGATTCCTATGCTGAAACCACTAATATGATTGTAGATCAATCCATAGATGAGAGTCATATGACAAACATGATCACTCACAAAAATGAAAGTGGAAGCAATGCAGAAAAGGTGGTATTGCCTAATGGCGCCACAACACAAAGTGGAAAGGCAGAATGGGTGGTGCAAGATGAACCAGGTGTGTATGTAAGTTTGTCGTCCCTTCCAGGTGGTGGTAATGAACTTAAGCGTGTTCGCTTCAGGTATTTATCATTTCCTACCCTCTCATTTGTTTAATATGTCAACTTTATCACATTATCTTTGACAATAGGTTTATAACAATTGATTTAATTCCTTGTCATCAAAGCATAAAAATTAAAAACTATTGCAGAATAGTTTATGACAGAATATCCACTTTGACTAGAAGTGCTCTGTTTGCTTATAAGATCATTTGGCTATTGTAGAGTTTCCTCTTGTTGAACTTTGAAGTTTTATCACTTGCTGAAACAAATTGGCCTGAGTTTTTAGCATAGCTGGTTCATGACAAGCTCTATGGATGATGGCGATCAAACTGTTTAGATAACTTTGAAGTTCCAACCACCACATATCTCATGACATTTTCTTAAAACCATTTTTATCCGTAATTATTGCCTTAGTGAATCTAAAATTGCTTACGTTAATATAAATAGATTAGCAGGTCTGAATTTCATATACAGTCGCGAACCCTGAAAGCATGATGAAATACTATCAGAGCAGGTTGACTTGGGGTAAAGCTCTGCGTGGGGGTTAGACAGAGCTTATGTCACATAATATTCAATCACGAAACTTCATAAAAGTGTGGAACTTGCATGCTTATCATAAAAAAATTTGGCATGTTGTTTCAATTAAAATCTTTAACGTAACAAGACAAGTTGTCAACAATGTCTTTATGACTGTAGCTAGAGCTTTCCCATTTTAGTGTATTTTTAAACATAAGAAAACAAGTTGTCAATACTCTTTATCATTGGAGTAGACAGAGCTTGCCCATTTCTTAAATATTGTTACGACAACGTTATTTAATACTTTTGATTTACTTAGCTCTGATCAAGATCAATTGTTTACCTTAAAAGTTTTAATATTAATTTTGGATGTTGAAGTATATTCTCTTTATTCGTTATTCTAGTATTCTGATTTCCTGAACATTTTACTCATTCTGAAACTGTTTACAGTCGAAGGCATTTCACAGAAGAAGAAGCTGAAAAGTGGTGGGCTGAAAATGGTCCCAAAGTATTGGAGCGGCACAATGTAGTTGCCCTGTAGAATGCAAGAGAACCCGTTTACTTGAATAAAAAGTAAACTGTTTCCTTCTCCCTTCCAAAATTCAGAAGGATCTTTTGTCCAAATTAGACAGGTAGGATACAAAAGTTATGGGGAAAAAAACCAGAGTAAGAAGAAAACTTGTTACTTCCCAAAAAAGTTCTAACCCCCACCCCAAAAACGAAGAGGAATTTCTTGTACTCATTACTCACTGATTAGTGTCGTTGGAATTCATCATTCATTTTGCTCTTTTCTTTAACCCCCTACAACAGTCATCTATATTTAACTTGCGGCTGAGGATTAATTTGTTCAGTTCTTTTTGCCTATTGTATAGCTACTTTTCTTAGGAAGTAAACTCTTAAAGTTCTTTTTGTCAATGTGCTCATTCTATAGGACTGCAGCGTTTAACTGTTGGTTTCTTTTGAGTTTTGGGTATCCAACAACATAGAATGCTTACTGTCTATATTCTTCAGCTAAACAGTTACTATTAAACACAAGGAGGATCAAAACCATGCATTTAACTAAAATGGTGCACTGCTTGTGAGTTATTTTTTGAGCTTTTTATCACACAGCTTTAGTTTTCTTAAGGGTGAATTCATACATTTGTTCATCATTTGTCCCTGGAAGAGGTTTTGAAAGAGGTTCTCAATGGCAAAGAAATGGGTTTAATAGCTTAATGTTCTTTTAACATATATATTTTTAAGGAGACAATGTATTTCTTTGGAGTGTGGATGAGATGATTGCAAATTTTAAGGATATTATAACTTTAGAGTATTCAAATGCTTTAGTTAAATTAATTTTGTTTGGATAGAGAAATGAATTTATTCGTTTTGTTGGCTTATTTTTTTATAAATTTTAAAATTTTGAGAGGAAAAAAGTACAAATACTTACAAAAAGTGGTTCAAAATGAGAATTTTAAGAATTTTGAATCAATACGTAAAATTTGAAGATTTATATGGATTAATTTGCTTAATTTAAAAACCATTAAATAATTTGTAAAACTTTTAAAAATAAATTGGGACTACTAACATGTAAAATTTTAAAATATACAGGAATCAATTTGCATAATTTAAAAAATATTATTGATATAAAGTGTAGAATTTAATATAATATTTAAAAAATTAATTTAATTTTAAAATATAAATATAATTAAAGTTGTTTTATAAATATACAAATTTATTAATATATTAGGGATTAAACTTTAAACCAACTGATCGTAACTGACCAGAACGGATTGTCAAGGCCTGCAAGCTGTGAGTTGAACAACAACTGGAAGTGAGCTGGGGGTACTTGTAAGACACTCTGATGTCAAAGTAAGGTTCAGAGCAGGGCGAACAAGCATGAGAGTGAGTATGAAAGAATGAATATCCGACCCTCTCAAGAGAGAGGGTATTTATAGTCTCCAACGCTGAGCCAAGGTCCCCATCGTTGGACTGAGCAAGCAGACCCAAAACGAAGACTGTCAAGTTCTACGTGCGTAGTGGGGCCATCACGTGGTCTCCAATCTGGATGGATTCCCCCGAATAGTCAAGAGGATATGGATGCGGTCTTTTCGGGACCAAGAAGACTCCGTGATATCCGGGGGTGTGGTGAGTCAACCCTACGAGGAGGATGTGCGCGACGCCTTTGTGTCATCGTGATCCCTCCCCGCCAGCTGTGGGGTTGTCTAGAGGGCTTGTCTTGATCGACGAGAGGAGTGGTGAATGCTCGCGAGGTCCTCCTGACGGGCAACAAACCTCCTTGTGATTCCTGGACTTATCCCCGTACGGCGAAGCCATGTCTTCCCGATGGGTGAGGTTACTGCCCGACATAGTTGAGGGCAGGCTCGGTCAGCGGGCCTACTCGAGCAGTATAGTTGGATTGGGCCTAGTATGAAGTTGGGCCAAGTGAAGACCCAGTCCAGAACAGGAGCCCCCAAGTCGTTGCTCCTGGCGAAGGAGTTATGACTTAAGTCGAACTTCTCCTTGTGGCGAGCATAATCTCACCAGGGATCTTTTACTGCATCGAGGGGCATGGTCGTTAAGACGTGCGTGACCTCGAGCAGAGGTTGGAATTGGCTTGACGAGGAACGTTTCAGTTCTTCCTCGACTTGCGGGGAGAGGAAACCACGCAAGGTGTGGGCACGTGGCGTGACCTTTGGGATAGTAATGATGACCTAGAGAGTAGGGGTCATTATTACCTGAGCGCGTAGGTGGCGAGGAGAAAGGCAGTCGATGGTCTGCCCGACGTGACGCTTCGTATTTCACGTCAGCCCTATATATAGTGGCTTGGGGCCCATTTTCCATATTTCAACTTCGCTCTCTCCACTTTCTTTGTTGCTTGCGCCGTTTCTCTGCCTTCCCACCGTCAACACTGCCGTAAGGTCGTTGCGGATTCTCCATTTACTTCTTGATCAAGTAAGTGTTTTCTGCTTTGAATGTTGTTTACGATTAGCTTTTTTGATGATTCTTTATAGAAATTCGTTACCGGGGTTTTTTTTGCTCGGGGCGTTCATATATTCATGAGTAACATTTGCTAATAAGCTCGTGATATTCATTTCTTCTCCGCGAAATTCATGAAAATACCCGTGACATTCATCTGTTCCCCGTGAAATTCATGAATTTTGCACGGGGAACTTATATGCTCCCCGGTGAATTCATGAATTTGTCCGGCAAATTCGTATGTTCCTCGCAGCATCCATGGATCTGCTCGCGATACTTATCCCTTGCCCGCGTTATTCATGAAATATGCGTTTCGTTATTATCATTATTGTGCAATCTTACGAGATTTGTATAAATTCCATGTGTTGATCGTGGGTTGTGTATGTTCCTCATTGCTCGAGTGATCGTCGACCTACTTTGGGCGTAGCCGTCCCCTTTCACTCGTGTTGTAATGGAGGGGTGGATGTGATTTTACTGTCGAATTCACTGGTTTCCTATGCTTTACAGGTGAAATGGTCGATACTCCAGAGTCATCGGAGCATATAGACACCGAAGAGACAAGTACTGCCGAGGAAGGGATCCATTTGGTCGACACCGTCGATGACCCTGCGCTGTCCTGGGTCGTGCTAGAACCTAGAGGGATAGATTTGGTCTATAGTTATATCAGAAGAGAAGCCTATACTGTTGTCGAGCATGGCAGCGACATGGAAGGTTTTCGGCAGAACTTCACGATCTTACGACCAACTCCCACGGCCAGGATATGCACGAAGTTCTAGGAGGACCGCTTCCCTATGTATGAGGTTGTCTTCAAAGACTTAGGGCTTCGTTTTCCCTTCAATGATTTCCAGATGGGCGTGCTTAACCATTTGAGCCTGACACTGTAGCGGTAGAAATGTTTAAGACTAAGCCATTGGATTGACTAGACTTTATACAAATCAAAATAAAAATCGCCACCGCACTTTATTGTTTCCAAAGGAATAGGAAAAGAGCGAAAAACCCAAAAAGAGGGGGAAAGATTCAAGGTAAGGGGGTTGTTTATACAAAGGGAAGGTATTAGCACCCTAAATATCTACAGTACTCCGCAGGAGCCTCTTTGTAAAATCTGTATATTTTGGCTATAAAAACTGTTGTATATAAAATGGATGGTGGAAGTGAGAAAAGAAATATATTTTTTATGATTTTTTGCACCCTCCGCGGTTGTGAACCTTTAGTGCCTACGTACCGCCTTTCGTGCAATAGGGGATCAGGGTACACGTAGTTTCTCTTTTAAAAATTTAAAACACAAATGTGTTGGTTAATTTTATAAGATAAAACATCATCGTCATTGTCCATGTGGACAACACACCTACTACCCACAATCATGAGAAAAGAGAATTTGCATCATCTCAAAGTGGAGGATATGGCTTGGATTTCAAAATCAACAATACCTCACTTAACACCCAAGTGGAAAATATCTCTCTTCACTATATATTGTAGAAGTATAGTCGTTTGCATCACTACAAGGATTGACAAGAGTTTAATCTTTTAAGAAAAGTTTTAAAGGGTAAAAAGCCAAAGTGGCAAAATGGTTTGAAATGAGATTGATTGACTTTTAGTCTTCTCACAAAAAATGTCAAGGTATTATTAAGTTGATTGGAGTTTATTTATGAAAATGTTTTGAAAATGCATGGACATAAGTCCAAGTTTATTATGAAAATGGTTCAAGTTTAAAAACAAGAAGAGTTTTCAAAAAGGGAAAGAAGATTTTTGAAATTAAAGAAGATGGGAGGAGAAGAAGGGACTATCCTAAAGCACAAGGTAAAAGCTAGAGATAAGAACCATCTAACCAACAAGAAGTCAAAACTTGACATTATGAGCCAAGATAGAGTTCCCATTCTTTGGATTGAAACCAAGAAGGCAAAAATACTAGACCTCTTGAGAGAATCAAACTTCAAGTGTATTAAGTCTTCAGAAAAATTGGGCAGAGTAACGACTGTATACAGGTGAATTCCAGATTACAAACAGAGGATGTAATCACAAAAACCTGCACACAAAAACAAACAAGCAACCCACTGTCTTGAGGTAAACCTCAAGAACTTCAGACAAAATAATCAGATAAGATCTCCAAGATAGGTCAAGATTTCTAATCCTAAGTCCAAGAAAAGTCCCATGCTCCATAATTCCAAGGATAGTAACCAAATAGTCCAAGTACCATTGAGGATTTTTTAGGGTTTATGTTGACTATTAAGTATCTTAAGAAAGGAAAAGAAAAGCTCAAGTGAGCAAAGTAAAAATGGCAAGAAACTAAATGCTCAAATGAGCAAAGATGAAAATGGCATAAAATGTAAATGCTAAAAGTAAATAGTACATAAAGCATAAAAAAGAATAAAAGTATAAGGTAAAACAAGTCAATAATTAGTGGTTAGTTGGATGACCATCTTGAAGATTGCATTTGGAACTCATTAGAGGATTGGTAGAACCAAATCCTCCACATAATAAGTTGCATTTGCTTTTTGTCAAGTATATCATTCATTTGGAATTCTCACAAGTACCATTTAATGATCAACGATGTTTAAGTGATCCGCGTTGACCAAAGGTGTTGTA